ACTGCAGCCTCCACTGGGCCGTCTGTATTGCCAGCACTCCCCACCATGCACGTGCAACCCCTGCACTCGCTGGGCATGGGAGGGAAGCCCTAGGCACTGGAGGCAGCTGCCTTCCTCACCCAGACTTAAGGGGTTAGGGGTGAGACTTCTGATCCAGAGATAGTGACAAGGGGGTGGGGAAACCATCGGGGGGGAGGCTACTCATGAGGCCCTTGACAGCTCACCAAAACTTGTTAAGTGGCCCTCCATCCAAAATAATTGCCTGCCCCTGCTTAAGAGGGTGAGGGACCACAAATATAGCTGCCAGCACTGCCCTGTGTGGGGCTGCTGCTCTGTTATAGCTCTGTATCACCTAGTGCATGGGTGGCCAGCCTGAGCCATGTGTGCCACAAGTGACATTGGCAGCCTTTATGTGGCATGTGACAGATTGGGGGGGGAGCAGGGAGCATGTCTAGGACAGGGAACAGATAGCAGAGCAACAGATCAGGGAGGAAGCACAGTGCAAGGAGCAGAAAAAAGAACAGCAGATCAGGCAAGGAATCAGAGTGGTACCTGGGGACGGCACAGGGCTGAACTTGTGGTGCACCTGCCCAAAAGATTGGCCGCCACTGCTGTCAGGGCTGGATTAATGCATAGGCAAACTAGGCAGATGCCTAGGGCTCTGAGGAAAGTGCCCAGTTGTGCTTATTTTACATTTTATAATTATTGAATGAAAAAAGTAATGTCAATAAACAGCATTAAGTAGGGGCCCATGAGTTTGTTTGCCTAGGGCCCACTAACGGGTAAATCTGGCCTTGACTGCTGTAGTCCATAAGCCTGCTGTCAGCTGAGTTGCTCTATGAAATCTTTCCCAGAGATTTGCGGGAGAATTTGTCCATCCTCTCGAGTCAGACAGTAGGGAAGGAATCTGACAGCTAGTCACAGCTGAACGGTACAGGCCTGTGCTCACCCTACAGAGTGGTTGTGTTAACAACTGACAAGTTGTGTTAACTTGAACCTTACCCTACCTTCCTCTCAGGCCAGCTAAATCAAGTCAAAAGTGCAACCACATCATAAGAAGGATTTGGGGGTGCAGATGGAATCTGAGATAGGTGTAACACGACAATTACATTTAACTCATTAATTTTGCAGTGAAGACATGTTCTTTGAGGTAAAGGGCTGCCCCTTACTGGGGTATTTACTAGGCCTGTGAGAAGCTGCTAGTATTCACTTTGGATTCGGATTTGGCCGATTCGGAGGACAGTGATTCGATTCGGTGATTCGAATCACTGCCCCGAATTGATTCGGCTGAATCCGATTTGGAGATTTGGCTCCTGCTGGCAGGGGTGCCCCCATGGTCCCCTCCCCCCTCGCCCAGCCTCTGCCCCTAGTACTTACCAGCTCGGAGTCAGCTGCAGCTCCCTTCTACAGACACAGGGAACTGCCCAAAGCATCAAAGCTCTCCAAATCTTTTTGGACCATTCGGAAAGCTTTGAATTGATTTGGACCTTTTAATTGGTCCCCTGATTTGATTTGATTTGGATTTGGAGATTCAGCCACTGAATTGGGCCGAATCTTCTCCGAATCGAATCACTGCCCAACGTTTTGCGCAGCCCTAGTATTTACAATGCATATCAAGGTGAGGACTGGTCTCGTTTGGGGTGTCTAGATGTAACTGTAATACAAGTAAATATTCCCTTCCACTGAATGCCTTGTTACATTGCTTTGTATAGTTGATTCCCCTTTTCAGACACAGGCCAAAGAGCGTTAATTGGAGATTGCCTGTTCCAGTCCTGAATTGTTTCATTCAGAAAGTTAATTAAAATCAACCCACCTCTTTAGAAAGTCCTTTTGCATCTACTGTGGATGATCCTTTCATCTCAGCATTTTTTTCAATCGGTGCTTCTTAAATCATGGAAATAACTTGGCAAAGAGGCTGTTACAAAAAAACAACAGTTAGGAATGCAAGGTAAATGCATATAATAGGTCTTCAGAGGAGAGAGCTGAATTTAATTGAGTGAAAGCTCAGAAAACCAAAGAGTAAATTCGGGGTCATCAGTATACTTCTTTCACTTACCCCTCAGTTGCACTTCATAGATCCAGGCTTCCTTTTGCTCTGCTGTTATCACACTTTCCTTTTGCAGTGATTTATTAACTGTGGAACTGTCAAATTATGAAACTGAGGTTCTAGAAATACTTATTAATGTTTGAGAAATTCATTTCACACTTGAATACTTTTCTAACACTTACTAATGTCCCTCATTTTGGTCATGTGGGTCTACAGGGCAAGAAAACAACGTATCTTATTATATGTTTAGCACGCAGGGATGAAGCATGAAAAGATATAAAAAAACCACATAGCAGCAACCTTCTGCCATTCCTCCTTATGTCCCTGCACTGAATATGTGTATAAGTAATGTAATGTAGTGTCTGTGTGCTCAGTAACAAACCATTCCAGCTTCATTGCTATTAAGAAAGGACTTTTAATCACCTCTGAAATGCTTGAATGTAAAATCCCTTTCATGCCAGTTTTGTCTTCCTCAATTTGGCAAACAATGACCTTTCCCCTGCGATGCTAATGGAACTTATCATTCCAAAGGCATTTCTGTTTATTACCCTGTTAGTAGACAGGAATGATCAAGGATCTCAGTAAAGCTAAAAGAAAAGAGGTTTCTTCCTGGCTTCATTGCTGGTTTTGTAGCAAAAATAAAGAATACAGTAGGTCCTACAAAAACGTGTCTATTTTGTTGCAAGTATGTTTTTTTTCTGCAGAGAAATTCATGATAGCTCTTCCTCCTTGAACTTGGAAAATATGCCCTAGAAGTTTATTAAGCAACGGAAAGTTTTTCTGATAAAATGTTCATGTTTTGGAAAATGCTTTTTTTTTTTTATCAACATTGAAACTTCCTCTTGAGGGGTAATGTGTCAATTTATCAACATTGAAACTTCCTCCTGTGGGGTAATGTGTCAATTTGGATGAATATTTGCTTTGGAGAAAAAGAAAATTAAATGAATCATTTCAATAAGGTAAAACTATTTCATGTTTTCATCTCATTGGGACATTTCAATTTTTCATTTCAAAATGATTTTTTTACAAATTTCAAACGTGTTTGATAAATTAGGAGGCAAAATCATTTTTTTACTTTTTGAAAGCAAATTCAGGGGGATTTTTTCTCATTCCAGTTTGGGACAGAAACAAACTTTAAAATGTTAGACTCTCCCACAGAAGAGTAGTTCCAAGTTTCAGTCAGCTCTAATGATAATGTCAGGTTAAATATCAAACCTAAGTCACTCGAGAGTTTCCTATTACCCCACCCAGCCTGTAGAGTCACTGTCTGATAGGAAATGGCTGCAATACCTCTAGCTTTCCTAAAACACTGACAGTTTCAACTGTTGCTGAAGAAATTTTTATGGGGGACTGCAGCTCTCAGGAAAGGCTTCTGCCTTAATATGTGGCCACTTAGCTGGGTGATTCCTTATAGTTGTAGCAGAGATGCCGCTCGTATTGTAACTGAAGGTTTCCTGGAGCAATAGGTGACCACTAGCTCCTCTTCCCTGGGGTAATTTGTTCCCCCCTGCTACTTTACCATTGTCACTTACAATTTGTTATCAACAATAGCAGTTTTTTTTGCAGTGAGCAGTAATTCGGTTTTTTTTCCAAAAGGAGGAGTTGTACTAGGAAGCCCATTGTTCCCCTATAAGTAATTTACTGCATTATATATTTCTGCCATGAGCTGAAGGGAACAAAAGTAGCCTCATACATTGCTCAGGTCACTAACACAATCTAAAGCTTTGGCCTCCTACAATTAGGGAGAAAGTACAGGCTTTTGTAGCCCTCTGAATCCTCTGTGTGCGCCATTTATAGGACATATACACAGAAGAAAGCAGTGGGAGGGATCTGGCAGGAATACCATGAAAGACATCCTTTCCTTTCCTTACATACCCTGGAATGTATCTTGGTTCCAGCCTCATAGGCCACGTCCAGACAAGCGTGGCTGTGTGTTATGTGGCACTGCAGACACCTGCGGTGCCATGTACTGCACATTCAGTTGTTCCCTATGCCGCAAAGGACCAGTGTGGAGGATTTTTTGACCCCTGTATATGCCCACAGGGAAAAAAGGTGGAGCAGTGCATGCGGTGGCAACATGCAGCACCCAAAGCTGGAGCCTGGCCAGCCATAGCTGCACTCTGCTGCCGGCCAGGCTCTGCACAGCAGGATCACCATTGCTGCAGCCCCAGGAGGCCCCCAGGTAAGGCTGCTGGTGCCATCCCAGTGCTGCCCCAGCCTCCCTACCCCACCCAGGGTAACCTGTTGTGCACCAGAGTGCACATGGCACAGGTATTCCCCAGGGACAACTAGTGGTGGCACAAGGTGCACCGCTGCTAGTTGTCCCCACCCAGGGAACCAAACATCCATGCATGTCTGGGTGCAGTCATATTATCTAATGTGAAGGTCATTTTTAAGCTGCACAAGGTATGATATTTAGCACCTGGCACCCAAGAATCTGAACACTTCCAGATATTGATGAATTATTCATTCATTAATAGGGAGGTGACTCATTATTATTATTATTATCCACATTTTACAGGCACAGAAACTGAGACATCAAGGCTTCAGGCAGCAGACTGGGGAACTTCCAGAAAAACTTGTCTCTCCCAGTTGGTGCCCGATTTTCAAAGAAGCTCAGTGCAGAAGTGTCAAAGTGTTACTGTAAAACTGTGAGCTGTTTGGACACTTTGGAGACAATGTGTGCCTTCTGTAGGTGCATAGGTGTGAATGGCAGACAAGGTTCCTTGGGTGAATTTGATATCTTTTATTAGACCAACCCAAATGGTTGGAGAATAGTTATTAAGCAAGCTTTCGAGTGGAGCTTTTTTGAAAATCTGCCCATGGTTGTAGGTGTTGAGCATCTGAAAATCGGCCTTTGGTGTCTTTTAAACACGTAGTTCCTCACATTCTATTTGCCTTCAAAAGGAGCAACATATTTCCTTTCCCTCATAAAAGGCTTTATTTTACATTTAGGAAATGCAAGAAGAAGAAAGAACAAAAGTAGACTGCACAAGACAAAGCACAATATGGCGTGGCGTGGCAAGGTAAGAAAAACAAAAGGTATTGTGATTTCACAGCTTCATGCACCACATGCTGTGTAGGTGCAGTGTCATAAAGTACTTTTCAGCAGTGCTAAAATTCTGTTTGTGAACACGTATTGTATTACAAATGTTGCTTCTCTTGCGCGAAGATCAGTTTCATTACTCTGCTCTTTGGTACAGATTCTCAAAACACTACAAAAAAATATTAATTAACCCAAACCAGTTCCCACCCTGGAAAAATGAGTGAAAGTGCTTAATCCATTGGCGTTTGTGCACAAAGTGCATTTGTTGTGCTGCCGAATGTAACATGATCCGAGCCACGGAAGGTGATTGAGTGCTCTGCGGCCCTGATGGATTTCAGATTTATTAGACACTGGAATGTTTTTTTTTCCCCTTCCTTGTCTATAAGAACATGGTGTGTAAGATGATAAAGGGCAGGAATAAAGGGAGCAGACTTTGTAGCCCTTAAAATTAAAAGGACCTTTTTTGAATGGTGAAAATGTCTGTATGCAGAAAAATAATCCTACATTTTACATATTACATTATTCAATAAACATGCTCTTGGAAGCAGCATTTCACAACTGCTGATACAGCTATGGACATGTGACAAATATTACTTTTATATTGAGAAAAACATAATCACAAAGCCTAAATGGAATATTTATGCTGTAAGATAATATACACGCACCTGTAAATTATGAGTGCAAGAGGTAATAATTCACTTTTAGTTTCATTACTTATGAACCACAGAGCTTTCAAAATTAGGGCTAGATTTGTTATGCCATGGCATTCCAGTATGTTTTCCCTTACTTAACCCTCTCACTTTTCTCTGGCATGTATATTCTTCACAGTAGTTGCAATTTTCTCGGCAGTAACACGTATACACTGTACAGGCAACACAGAATTGGCATCTTTTTCAAAGGATATATTCATGATACATTTTATGATGTTAACCAGGCTGAAAAAAATTAGCTCAGGGTATAGGGATATAATTTCAAATACATTTTTTGGAAAGTTTCCTATGTAGAGAAGTGCTCGAAGGTGTAACACTAATAAAAGGCTGCTTTATTCAAAAGTGGCAGGATTGTTCTCCTGAACTGCCTGGATGTGAAGTGCAATAACAATGGTCTGCTCCCATGATAGGTAGTTTTGTTTCAGCGTCTACACGTTCCTTCATAAAATGGAACAACTGAAGTCTGAAATGAATAACTCTAATATGTTAAAATCAATATTAAAATATAAATAACAAAATTACTGCTCAACAAAACCAAGCTAATGTTTAATATACAAGCAAAGGAATAAATGAGTTCCATCCTTCTATTTTTGACTTTGCACTTATTCCAACTATTGGGAAGGGATGTGTGTGTGTGAGAGAGGCACGCATACGGCAAAGCAAAGGAAACTGCTAGGGCTCCTGGTTGGAGGGCAGGAGCTGGAAATCAAGATTCTTAATTTCAAATAGACTCTTCCACTAACCTATTGAGTCATCTTGAGCAAGTTATTTCATTTATTTTTGCCTCAATTTTGCTAATCTATAACAGGGAGACCATATAACTCCTCCCTGCAGCAGTGTTACAATGTCTACAAGCTTCTTAGACCCTCATGTAGCACTCTTCACTGAGGTGAAAAATGCTAGTGTTATTCTATAGGAAGAAATTCCCTTGCCAGGTTATAGTTCTTGTGAGAGCCTTTCCTCGTGCAACATTCCTCTTACTCTCCCCAACACAAATGCACATCAAATGGCCATATCTGTTTTATCTGAAGGCTGAGATAAAGATTTCTTTATTGCAGAATCAAAATATCTTCCTTTTCATATAACTCCAGGAGAGAAATCATATTAACTCTCAAACTACTGCAAGTCATTTCAAGGAGACTTTATAGGTTCAATTCCTGCTTACCTTAATCAAGTGAACAGTCCCATTAAAGTCAGTAGGACAGCCGGAGCCATTAAAGGGAGCAGGATCCAGCCCCTTTGTAGAGAACTGAGGTAAAACAGACACCCTACTGCAGTTTGCATTGGACAGTTCTCAATTAGAATGTCAGGATTTATAGTGTATTTTATCCGGTCTCCATTCTTCTCTGTTCAGTTTAACTTTTGACCTACAGTTATTGGCAGAAGTGGGCCTGTCCCAGAGGGCCATTAGTCCCTTCTAAAGAGGCCTTCCAAGGACTGCCAAAAATTGCAGTGGGGGATGGTCCCTTTGTAATAATACAACCTCTCCGTTTCTAAGTGTAAAATGCTCACACTCATTTACTGGATACAAAATCACTCCTTATACAGCCATGGAAGTTCCTTTCAGGACTGGTACAAACAAATGTGGGTCTACTGGATTGGGCTTTTCAGCTACAGTGCCCAAGATTTTGCATGTGATCTTCTCCCTTCCTGTCCTGTTGTGAGGGGGAAGGTACAAGATATGAGTTCAAGCCTGGAGTGACTAGGAGTGAGAGGCAGTAGGAATGGGAGAATAGGTAACATGTCCAGAGCTGGGCATTTGTTCATGGATTTAGGGCAACAGGGGATGGAGGGTGTATTAAACAGGAAGTAGAGTTTGACTGTGCCCATCACTAGTGACCTACTCAATTTGTGGTTTCGTGGATTTCACTGACATTGCAAAATCAAGCATTGTCTGCAAAATTGGTCAATGCCCATGAAATCTGCAACCCCCTTCCCCCCAAAAACTTATAAAAAATAAAGTGCTGGCTCCCCAGTGGGAGCCTGTGGTCCGCATGGCTGCTGTGGCCTGGCTGCACAGCCTGCCTGGGGCTGGTAGCTGCTGGCACAAATGGGAGCAGCCAAGATGGTGGCCAGCCCCACTCTTTGCAGTTGATTGGCTGAGAGGGCTGCCCATCATGCAGCCACCACCACTCTCCACCAGTTAGTGGTGAGGGGTGGGGCTGCACGATGGACAGTTCCCTTGGCCAATCAGTGGCAGAGAGCAGAGTTGCATGACTGACAGCCCTCTCAACCAGTCAGTGGGGAGGGGAGGGGCCACGAGGGCCCCTCAGCCAATCAGAAGCATAGGGGGGGGCTGCTGTGATAAGTCTGTGGAAATGGTGGCTGGCCCTGTGATTGGCCCACAAAATATATCGCCTGCCTCCTTGATTTTGGTAGGTCCCTAACCATAAACCAAGCCAAGATATACGGATTCCTCAGGGATCCCACTCTCATCATATGGCTCTTAGCCAAAGTAAGACCATTCATACATTATAATTATGAGTATCAAACAGCTTATTAGCATTTCACAGTACTGGAATATGCTGATGACGCAAAAGTAGGAGGCATCCTTAATAATGGGGAGGATTGGGATATTTTACAGAAAGAACTTGTTGACTTTGAGGACTGAAGTAATAGCAGAGGGATTAAATTCTACCGTATACAATCACATACTTAGGAACTAAGGAAAAGACTTTCTGTGGAGTACTGGGAGTTTATCAGTTGGAAATAACAGAGGAGAAAGTCCTGGTAGCATTAGTTGAGGACTGTGACTATTTGATGTGGCTGGGAATAAACAAAGTGATCCTAGGATGTATTCATGCTGTTGTATAAGGTGAGACCTTATCTACAATACAATTTCACCCATGTTCAAGACAGAAGACCTCAAACAGCAACAGATTCAGTAGCACATGAAGGATTATCAGAGATTCCTCTGCTAATGGGAATCTAATTTGTGTGATGATAGGAAACTAAAAGAGTTTGACGTATTTAGCCCAGAAAATTGAAAGCTGAGGGGGGATATGGTTACTTTCTTTATTAATACAAGAAAGGGGTGAAAACCAGGAGGGGGAAAGAGCTGTTTAAGCTGAAGGACAGTGTCGGCACGAGAACAACTGGGCCATGAATATGGTGAAAGTGAGAAGGTTTCTAGTCATCAGAGCAGTGAGATTCTGGAACACTTCTCCAATGAGAGTGATGGGGTAAGAAAAATGAATTACTTTTAAATAGCAGTTTGACTAATGTATGAAAATGGTTCTATGACATCCATTAGTAGGGATTGGATCCATGACCCCTAAGTTCTCTCACAGTCCTATGCTCAGGTTTATTTTTGAAGTTAAATTAACACCAAGCTCACAAAACAACATCATGTTCCTTTGCACGTGAAGCTGGAGTTTTCCCTGGAGCATCATGGCTGACAAGACTCTTCTTACATGTAATCTGAAAAGCAATAAAATAAACAAACAACTAGGTAAGGTGCCAAATTAATAACTTAACTTTTATGATTTAAATTTTCCTCATCCTTTAGTTCACCATTGAATGGATTTCCCAGGCGTTTATAAATTCCCTATGCTATAATATGTGAAATTCACTCCTGGGAAGAAGACTCAATAGGATTGGGGGCCATTATTAGTTTTATAGGAAAACTGAAGTCATACTAGTTGATGTTGTTCCAAGTGTTTAATCCCGGTGCACATATGAGAAGAAGGCTCTAGAGCAGTGGTTCCCAACTTTCTTAGACCATGGACCGGCAAACCGTGGACTGGAAATGGATGCGGACCGGAAGTGACCAAAGACCAGCAAAATGCGGATCAGCATATTGCAGACCAGAAGTGACCAGTATACTGCAGACCAGCAGTCAACCCTTTTTTCATACTCAGTCTGCAGTATGCTGGTTGTGGCAGGGCACTGTTGGTACCTGCTACTTAAAGAGTGGGGCCAAGGAGCCGGCAGGTGCTTGATTGCGGCAGCCACTTTAGATCTCTGGCTGCCTATATAAGCAGGGCAATTCACTGCTAGTAGGTGAGGCAGAAACACTGCCTGGCTGCAAGGCTCCATAACATCCTGGAGATAAGGGCAGGAACTAAAGGGGATGGTTAGGAGGCTCCTGGTCCTGGGCATGACCTAAAACTGCACCCTTCTGGGAGTGGGTGGCCTGGTGGGGATCTCAGTGGCACAGGAGCCCTCAGGAAATACCAAACCAGTTATCACCCCGGTGAAAGGCAGGTCGGGGCTCCTTAACCCTAGCCCTCACCTTTGGGTGGGTCATGTAACACTGGAGGTAGTTGGGGCCAGGTATGGCTGTGGCCACCTGAGCCCACTGGGGAGGGAAGCCCCATGGCTCTGAGTGAAGGGGGCAGAGATGAGTAGCCCCAGTGAGGGGGTGGCCCCAGCAAGGGGGGTGATGTGGAGCCCCAGTGAGGGGGTGAAAATGAGGACCCCAGTGAGGGGATGGCCCCAGTGAGGGGGTAGAGAAGTGGAGCCCCAGTGAAGGGAGGCAGTGGGAGATGTAGAGCCCCATTGAGCGGGTAGCCCCAGTGAAGGGGTGGTGTGGAGCCCCAGTGAAGGGGGTAAAACCAGAGGGCTGAGAGCCCAGTATGTTTATATATAGAGAGTTGCCCCTGGAAGGGGCCAGAGCAAGCTTAGACCCGCTTGGGTAATTGGCTGGCCACTACCCCAGTGAGGGTCATGGAAGAGGTCCAAAAGATGGTACATCTGCCACCCAAGGTATGAACTAGTTAAGCCTATGGCCTAAGGGGCCCGCTCCAAGAGGGAGCAAGGTAGCATAAGTTGTCGAAGCGTGCAAGAGACCCTGTGAGAAGGGGTGGAGTGTGAGAGGCCTTCGTGAGAGGAGGGCAATATGTATGTGAGTGTGTCTGAGGCCTGACAATGAGGCTTATGCTTGGTCCAGCAGTAAGCCAGGAGCACTATGTCATCTGGATGCCATTTGGGAGGCTTGGGCTGTGGTGTAGGGGAGGAATGGAGCTGCGGATAGCGCCCCCAGGCATTGGGACTAGAATGAGCAGCCTCCCGCCTTAATTAATATCTTAATTAATTACCAACGAGGTGTGGCAGGTGAGACAAGTGGGTGGCGTGTCCAAAGGCAAGTGGGGAAACTAGCATTGTGGCTAGTTGGGGAGCCCCACATTGCCACACCGGTCACTTCCGGGCTTCCGGTCCAGCAGCCAACTTGTACCAGGCTGTGGCCTGGGTTTGGGAACCTCTGCTCTAGAGAAGAGGCTCCATCTCAGAGATAGATATAGAAAATCCTGTTCGGGGTCCTCTGGAACAGGAGACTCTAAAGGAAGTGTCCCTTACTCACCGTTACTCCTCTTTCCAGAGCTTGTCATAGGACAGCGTTCTATTTAATGCCAACAGCACTCCTTCAGAAAGGTTCAGTGGACTCGCAGCATCTGGAAATGTGAAAATCTAGGGGTTAGGCACCAAGGATTAATAACTGTTGGAAATATCGTTGAGTGTGCGTTCATTATCTGGCACGTAATACTTTAGCCTTCTTTTTTCAGCTTTTCCCTAACAAAGGGGCCAGATTGTCAGCTCTGAGGAGTGAAATTGTCTGTTGGCAGGATGCACATGGCATGGTAGCCATTCTTATTTAACATTTGGATTGTGCTAACAGCTAAAGATCACAATCAGGCTATGACCACATTGTGCCAGTGCTGTACAGATATGTAAGAATGATGGTCCCCATCCTAAGCACATTACAGTCTAAAGACTGCAGGAGCAGTGCAGACTTCTCCTTTACCAGCTTGCCACTGAGTCACCCCTGCTCCACAACACCCAACTCTGAGAGACTGAGGGTATTTCAGCCTCCCTAGCTTGTTCAGTCCTCTGACTCTGCAGATCCAGGTTTAAGGAAGGGCTGTTTAAATAGCTACTACGGTGCTTCAGTTTTTGAACCAAATACTCCCTGGCTGCCCCATTCATCAGCTAGGGCAGATTCAGGTGTAACAAGGAATCAGCTCTTGTAAAACCCCTTACCCATCCACTGTCTTGCCATGTCAGAGTAAAGACACCAGCTGTTGGGATCAGAAAGTCTCTGTTCCAGTACAGTTCTCCTGCATGTCACCCCTCAGTCAGGAAAATAGCAGAAACCTGTCCCTCCTGCAAAGCAGCCGTTACCTTAGGCACCCAGATATCCAGTGTAGACTTCCAGCCAGGCGTAGCAAAGTGATCACTTGCCTACTAGAAAGAGAATGGAGTCCACCAACTCATTTCCCATAGGAGAGCTGAACAGCCATCAGATGATAATGACTTTCAGTCAATGGCCTGGATTTGAACTGATGCCTAGAGGTGAAAGGATCTGTATTCCATTACCAGACCCATGAACCATCCAGTGTCCCCTGGGTTAAATATTTTTAGCAACAGCTTGTTTACATGTCCAACTTGTCAATGAGCTTCTGGGGCATAACTGCCATGTAGCTGTGTCAGTGGACAGCCAGTGAGCTTGCTCTGTGTGCTGAGCTAAAGCCTTGCAATGGGCTTGTCAGATATATTCCTCCTTCCATGTCATGAGAGCAAGACTAATTTCAAAGAAATGCTCTTTATTTCTGCTTAAAACTGTTAAGGAAAATATCCAGCACTGTCTTTTTTCTTGTCATCTGTTCAACAAGTGTCTCATAAAACAAATTGAGAGGTTTAAATCTCCAAGACAAAAATCAATAAGAGGATAAGTAAAGAATAGGAGGAAGTCAGCAGGCTGAGATTTATTTTGCTGGAAATGTTTTTTTCAATGGATTTACTAATAAATCTAAAGTGGCTGGTGCAGCTGTCTTTGATATGCAATATCCCCTATACTTAGATGAAAGTTGAGCATGAAAAGGGGCCTCAACTATCGATTTTTACAAGGGTGTAAATCAGGGAAACCCCACACATTAAATATATCATCAGCATATGCTCCAAGAAAAGTTCAGAGGAGGGATTTTGTTTGAGGGTTAGGATTTTCCTCTCTCCATTTTGTTGTATCATTATGCATATTACAGTAGGGCTCTGAGGGGCCAACTAAGATCAGGGCTTTGTCCCAAATAGTTTACAGTCTAAACCAAGGGTCAGCAACCTTTTGCTGGGATACGCTTTGACCTGGCCCCTGCCAAAAACCGCAAGTCTCCACCCCCCGACCACTGATCCCCACCCCTCTACAGTAGCAATTAATTGCATCTACATGCGCAATTAATTCAAAGTAATAAGATCCAGAGCAGTTTGAGGCAGAGTAAACTACTCCTGAGCACAGCATCTACATGTACACCCATGACAGCTGCAATTTGAGCTAGGGCAAAGCAGTTTCTGCCAGGGCTGGGAGTACAGGGGGTCAGCCCCAGGCGCTGGGTAGCAGTGTTGGGTGGCAGAGGGGCTGACTGGGGCACAAGGACACTAAAAGTGCAAAGCCATGTGGCTAAGTGGTAGGCAGGAGTCTGTCTTCCTGCTGGCTGGGCTGACCAGGTGCAATCCATGGTCAGTGTCTATACATGCATTTAATCACAGTTAATTACCCCACTGTATGATAGTACTTGTCCCCAACAGTACTATCTTACAACAGTGTAAATTAGTTTACTGCAGCCTAATAGTGTCACACATATAGACGGTTGCTTTGATGAACATGGGCCACCAATGTGAGGATGCAATCAGGAAAGCTAACCGCACCTTGTCATGCATCCACAGATGCATCACAAGCAGGTCCAAGGAGGTGATCCTCCCCCTCCATGTGACACTGGTCAGGCCGCAGCTGGAGTACTGCGTCCAGTTCTGGGTGCCGCACTTCAGGAGGGATGTGGACAGCATGGAGAGGATCCAGAGGAGGGCCACTCGCATGATCGGGGGCAGCAGAGCAGGCCCTACGAGGGGAGGCTACAGGACCTGAACCTGTTCAGCCTCCACAAGCGAAGGCTGAGAGGGGATCTGGTGGCCATCTCTAAACTGGTCAAGGGGGACCAGCAGGTAATGGGAGAGTCCCTGTTCCCCTGAGCACTACCAGGAATAACAAGGAATAATGGCCATAAGATGACTGAAAGTAGATTCCAGCTAGATATCAGGAGGCACTACTTCACAGTCAGGGTGGCTAGGATCTGGAACCAACTTACAAGGGAGGTGGTGGTCACTCCTACCCTGGGGGTCTTCAGAAGGAGGTTAGATAATCACCTAGCCGGGGTCGTTTGACCCCAGCATTCATTCCTGCCCTGGCAGGGGGTTGGACTTGATGATCTGCTCAGGTCCCTTCCGATCCTACCAACTATGAAACTATGAAACTTTGCTCTGCAACTAAATAGTCTTCTCTGCAGTTAAGTGCATGTGTAGACATGGCTAGTGAAAGTAAGTGCAGACAGTGGGGCAGCAGTCTCCCCAGTGAAGGGAAGCACTGTGGAAGGGAGAGATAGCAAGGCACAGCTCCATGCCACTGACACCCTCAGCCAGACTGAACCTGTATGAGTTGGATTGGACCACTTTGTGGGCTGGATCAAGCCTGTGGGCCATAACTTACAGACCCCTGAACTAACTGGTTCAAAGTGTAGCAAACCTCATTATTCTGTTGAGTTTCAGGTTGCGTTAGCTGGATGCATGCTGAGTGAATACCATATCAAAGCACCTGGGAGTAAAGTTGATGAGGCAGTTGCATTTCCCAAGGATCACACAACTTGATGAGTACCATCCTTGGAGTGTTGGAAACTGAGAAGGACTTCACATAAATAGGTAGGTAGGTAAGTAGAGTGGAAGAAATTATGGGAACAATTCAGATGAAGCCAGGGAGGACTGAATGCCAATTATTTCTGCGTTGGTTCCACGTTTGGGTATGTCTTGAGCAGGAACGAATATTGTCATGGGTGATGGTGACAACAGTGGGTTACTGAAAGCCATGCTTGATTTGATGTGGTCACCTAGCAATGGAAGAGACTTTATCCCTTCACCAAGCCCCTGAAATGTCTTGTCCTCTGAGCTGCACATTCCTAAAGATTGTGATCTTTACAATAGCCCAGTAGATGAAGAGGAAGCTATAATGAGCCCTTTGTTGAGTAATATTAGTGGTTTCCTGTGATTGGCACACAGTGACAGATGGGTGCGGGTAGGGAGCCTGTAGCTGGTATCTATGTGTATGCATATGAGCCAGGAGGGGTTCCAGGATTGCCATGGTTCACTCTATTTCAATTGAAACAAATAGCCTTGGACATATCTACAGTGTTGAATGGGAAATCTGCCAGAAGCTGGCTGGTGTCTTATTATCTCATATCTTCAATCAATCCTGCATTTTTGGAAAGATTTCTCTGTACTGTGCTTCAGAACAAGGATAACTGCAATCATTTCAATTTACAAATTTGATCCTAGTGAAAACATGCTAAGTAAGAATAGATCAACAAAATGGTCATACTTATTTCTTTATACAAACTCCCTAGAGACAAATTAGATCTGAAAATTGGTACCACATAAACTGGCTTGATTATTCCTTATTAAGGATTGTTGTGATTTTTCATTCTCCCTCTTAATAGTCCACATTCTGGCTACAACCCTGTCTGATTGCTGTGGAATGGCAGCAAGGAACTTGTATTTAGGTCACCTAATGTTTCCCGTTTTAAAAAAATGTGTCCCCTTTATTTTGAAGGGCTCATTCATTTCCAGGGTTTTCAGGAAGACTTTGACATTTAAATGTGGAAAAACCCTGTGCAACTATGTACTTAAAGACTATATTATGATGAATAGGAGCAATGGAACTGAATTAAGATTGATAATGGCATTTCCTGATTTTTGAGGGCTTGTCTTTTACCTAAAATATCATTCTTTGAACATAAGGGTTGTTTTTAAAATGTAGTACACGCAGGAAGCATCTACACATGCATCTTTTAAGCAGGCTTAGCCTAAAATCACCATTTATAAGGCACATTAAGGGCATGTGTCCACACATGCATGCCTTTAATGTGCCTTAAGAATGGTGATTTAAGGCTATGAGACCCTAAATTTGATACCTGCACAAAGCAAGTATCAAATTTAGGTGCCAATAGCTAAGTCGTGTTAGCACGCATGTAGATGTGCTAATTAGCATTGATGCAGTGTATGTCAATGGATAGACATCACGTTAATGCACCTTAGCACATCTGCACATGTACTAATGTGACTTAGCTGTTCGAGCCTAAATTTTATGCATCTTAAGGTGCATTAGTGCGTCCAGGTGTAGACATGCCTAAATCGCCTTAATGCACCTTAACCAAAGGCACATTAAGTTTAGGCTCTCAAAAATACATGTGTAGACATGCCCACAGATACACAAACACATACATTGAGCTCCAGTACACTGATGATGCTGTGTGTGCGCTCACTCAGAAGCAGACTTTCAGGCAATCATCGACGACTTTACTGAGGCATACAAGAAAATGGGATTGACACTTAACCTTCAGAAGACTAAGGTCCTCCATCAACAAGTTCTTAATGAGAAGTCCCCAGCTTCAGTAATTCAGATTTATGGTGAGACTCTGGAGAATGTTGAATATTTCCCATACCTTGGAAGTTATCTCTCTCCGAAGGCTGATATCCAGCTTCACCTTAAAAGTGCCAGTGCAGCCTTTTGATGCATTTGAAGATGATTATATCAGATCTGAAACCAAGCTCATGGTTTATCAAGCAGTTATGATCTCTACCTTCCTGTACAGAGCTGAGACATGAACAACATACAGGAGATACCTCAAGTCACTGGAGAAGTCCCATCAACCCTGCCTGCAGAAGATCCTTTGATTCCAGTAGGAAGACAGATGCACCAACATTAGCATTGTCTCACAAGCACCAAGGCAATAATCATTCAATACCTAATCATTCAACATCAACTTTGCTGGGCTGGGCACATCATCCGGATGTCTGACTCCAGATTCCCAAAACAAATGTTATTCTCCCAGCTCAGTCAAGGCATACACTCAAGAGGAGGGTAGAGAATGCCCTTCAAGGACATCCTCAAGGCCAGTTTGAAAAAATGTAACATCAACATCAACTCATGGGAGATTATTGCCTACCCCAAATGGAGGAAGAATCCGCTGCAAGGATCTTAGTACTTTGAAACCTTACAATGACAGCAGGAGACAGAAAAGCAGGAGCCGCAGAAACCCCATGTTGTGGACTGAACCAAGAATCCAGAGCCACTCACCTAGCATGGAAACATGTGCCTGAGTTGCAACAGAGTCTGTCTATCCCAGATCAGCCATCTTTGGACCCGCAGATAAAACACTCATGGAAGACCATCATTCTTGACTGCAAGGGACTGCTTATGCGATGACTTAGGCTAGGAACAGATGTTGCGTTTGTCCTGGATAAGTTGTGCCCGTGTATGTCCTGGAACAAAAATATCTTAGAATTGGCATACAGGGGTGGATTGAGGTGAGGAGGGGGAAGGGAGGGGTTGCACTGGTATCCCACCCCCACCTCAGCCTTTGTTTTCTATTCTACCTACAGTTTGAAAGCAGTTGCCTGGCAGTGGCAGCAGCTTTTCTAGTCAAGCAGTGCTGAAGGAGTCAAATGACTTCATGGCTCATTGTAATCTACCCAATCCCTTCTAAACTCTTCATTCCACAAGCGCTAAAGGCCTTTTCTTTTTTTTTTTTTTTTCCCCAGTGGTCTTGATTTTCTACCAATCAAGCTATCCTTTATTCTGCAATTTGCCTGTCTGTTAACTGTTCCTGGTAATGAAGCTCCTATTTCACAGTCCTACAGATTGTTTTAACACATTCCAATAAAGTATATTTGTTTTTGCTTCAATCTTAAACTGAAGAACATAGCCCTAGCATTAGTGAAGCTTCTAGTTTCTAAGTGGAGAAAAATGTGTTGTGTTACATGTGATGATGCATATCACCATCTGCATCCCACTTCTCAAAAGCCTAGATCCACCCACGTTGGCATGTACACAGAGTTGCACTTCTAATCAGGTTTCAGTGAGCAGCTGAACACAGTGCCACTTTTCTGTCATTGATTCAATGATGCAGTCTTGGGATAACTGTACAGACATAGTTTGAAATATCACAGGATAAACTGTTTATACCTCTTATCTGGGGAACTTTTTTAGGATTTATCCCAGGACATTGGATATGGACATCTGTATAATTGTACTTTGTTCCAGGATAAAATGGTTTATCCTGGGATGGATGTGATGTTTGTTTACAGCCTTAGACAATTTCGGCTATAGGCATTTTTAGCAGTGCTACACATATTGCACAAACATACAGATCCTCCCTCCCCCACACACACATCTGTGTGTTTGTACCCTTATCAGTGAATGCGGATCAGACATTCCTATCTTTCAGAGCCTTATTTAATGGGCAAGATACTGGCTGCACTAGAAGCAGTGAGAGCTTGGCCATTCACTTCAATGGAGCCAGGATTCCACTCAGTGTTTATAAAGTGAGGTACAAATGATAGCTGTACTTTGCCTGACTTCCCACATACAGCTTTGTGAAATAGGAAAGTATTAGTCCCATTTCACTGAGAAGGAAGCAGAGTACTGTGAAAACCTATATTACAACTAAGGATTTGAAAGAATTTGGACTCAAATCTGCTTTGACTGAAAATTGTCCCACAGCTTTTCATGACTGGTATCTAACAAAGACCTCGGTTTCACTTCCAACCCCAAACCTGGAACCACTAGCAATGATCTCCCATTGCCCTTAGTACAGCAATACCTTCAAGGGAAGAACATCATGTTGTCCTGAGACAACTACACTGTCCTACTCTGGTTCACTGAGAGTCTCCCATCCTTGTCCAAACTCTGCTTGAGCTCTGACAAGATCAAAGGCCAATAGGGCTGACACACAAGTAATGAATTGATTTAATCTCACAGGGCACCTTGCAACCCTAACTTTCTATGATTCTGTGTGCCCAACACCTGCTCTGACATCTCGGAGCAGACTCGATTAATTGAGTCTGCTGGAGCATGCTAATGAGCACACTCCAGCAGCCTCGATATCATGTGTATTCAGTTCCCCCATACTTCAAAATGGTGGGGGGGACATTTTCACTCAAGCTCGTTCAATGCCCCCCAACCCCGGAGCATGTGTAAAGACACCCTCAGTGGCTGGGATGCCACTTTTGAAATCCTCCCCCTAGAAGTGGCCAAGTATCGTCCCTGTTGTTCCCTCTGTTATATCATGGAAACACTGGTTTTGTTTCTGGAGTGGCTTTTTTAGATGTATGAGGGGAGAGGGGGTAAGAAAACCCACTGCATGGGGACACACAGCAAGATGTTGCCATGCAGAGAGGCACGTTCATAAGTCCACCCTTTCAGGATTCTGGGTCTGTACTGCAATCCTAAAATAATAAATTAATGTCAAGAGAATCCCCCTCTTTTCCTCTTGACACAATTTACAAGTGAGAGTTACGAGATGTCAATAATTTTTTTTTCCCAAAGCAAAGAGCAATCCTGGATAAAAGTCAGTTTAGTTGAGAGAAAAAAAGTACCACAAAAATAGATCTTTTCCATAAACAAAGCTGCTTTCCGTTTTACTAACGTAAACAGGCAGATGCATTAAGAGAGCATGCCACCCAGGCCCTGGAAAAAAGAGACAGGGAAACATATTTCTGAGTATTTCTCTGAAGGTGCAAGGATGGCTGGGACTAAAGAAACCTCAGCAGGAGCTAAAGGGAGAGAAAGGGATTGACTTTACAGACTGCCTTGCCAAAGAACAATGTCATTCAGATCCCCAAACTTCAGAACCTTTGTTGCACCC